GGATACTGGCAAAGGATCTAAAGGAACTACATTTTTCAAGCTTCATATAATAACCTCTAGCTTCCTCCCTGAAGGAGAGGGAGAACCTCTGAAAGCATGAGACCAAGAAAATTACACACGCCTGAAAACCCAGGAGATCGTTTCTAAAGTATGCTCGCCTCTGCAGGGCCGGCGTAGCTCAGCGGTTGAGCACTGACCTATGATCCAGGAGATCGCGGTTTGATTCCCGATCAGGGCACATGCCTGGGTTGCAGGCTTGGTCCCCTGGAGGGGAGGGGCAGGAGGCAGCGGATCAATGACTCTCTCTTATCATTGATGTTTCTATCTTTCTCCCTCTCCCCTCTGCTCTCTGAAATCAATAAAGATACATTTTAAAGAATAAAATAAAGTATGCTTGCCTCTGAAGCTTTTTTACAGTTATAGATCAAGTACCCCAAAATTACACCCTTTCATCCCGTCTTGCATAGCTTCAGTTCAAAGAAGGAACCAATATTTCTACCTCTCTTACAGAGAGATGCCTTGAGCCTTTATTACCATATAACTTTATAAACTTGGTTAGGCTAATTGTCTACAGACCACCTTAATGCCATGATAATGGTGAACCCAGTGCCTCTAATTCATCCCCTACCAGTGAATTCCCATGTCAACAAAGTCAAAAGAAAATTTTAGTTTAATTCAACAATCACAGTGTAACCTACGAACACTGCGACAATGGTACCACCCTTGGAAGTCATTTATAAGTGTTTAAACCTATATCTTCCCAGGTGCCAAAGAGAAAGCCAAAATCAATGCATGCAAACTGCCAGTGTATTACACAGTAGTAAAAATACATTACTAAATAATCCTCTTATGAATCACTATAAAATTATAAAATCTTAATCTTCATAGGAGTCATAGAGAGCTAGTCCAATCTCCAGTGCCAGGCTTATGTCCTCAGTATCTGAAACAGTAATGCCATCTCTGTTTAAACACCACAGGTGAGAGGTAGCTCACGACATGAGAGTTCATTTCACTAATTGACAGCTACACATGAGACAGTCTGGAGATCAGGAAGCTAAGAATCAATGGGTCTGCAAGTAAATCTACCAGTATACCAGAAAAATATTGTTAGGAAAATGCAAATTTAATAACAGGCATCCTTTCAATACTAAGCTTTTCTAAAACACTGAAAGCAAAATTCTATTTACCAAAATTTTATATACCGATATTAAGTAAGTTAACAGGTAAGGTATGTTTCAGGAGAAGGAACATGGAGATTTCTCCCACTGTATCCTTCCCCTGAAACAGCTCTTTCTCGATACCTTTAAGTCAGAACTCTTCCATCTGTGTCTTCCATCAAACTCCCAAGAACATCACTTTATTTCCTTCTCCCACCACATTTGTTCCCATATTTGGATTCATATGGCTAAAAAGCTCTTCTATTCTCTTGATCTACCCACAATCCAGAATAGAGTAGCAATGGGAACCGATAAACAGAAGGTAACATGGATATACGGAAATAGTCAATGATTGTGAGAGTAGGTGACTAGAATAACAGTGCTATAAGACAAAGAAAAAGGACTTAACCTGGCTGGGTTTATAGATCTGAAGCTTAAGATGATGGAGAAATGCTCAGTGTCCAGGAATGAGATCTAGAACAAATATCAATGAGTCATCAGTAGACACAAAAGTTAAAAATATGACACAGATCAATTTCCTAAGGAAAAGAGAAATGAAGGGCAGCAGTGAGGACACACACTTATACTCCCCTCTAGTACTTCCACCTTGTATATTGTCTTTTGATGTTCTAATTTTCCCCTAATGAATATGCTTAACAATTTCTGCAATACCAAAAATCAAGTCTCACATACCTTCTATGTTACTGAGGTCATAGAAGATGCTCAACAAAATCATTTTGGCTGGTTCTAATAATAGCTTAAAAATATTTCTGAAAAAGCTAGTAGCAGTGAACTTCACTAATACATAATACATTCCCTGGACAATGGAGTCCACCTTCTAAGGGATCATCATTTACAAATGCCTCTTTAAGGCCAACACCAAAGGATGTTCTTCATATTAAATTCATTCATTCATTCCATGAAAATCCACCATGTACAAGGTACAGTGCTAAGATGCACCTCTTGGGACACAAAACTAAATAAGAAAGGTCCTCACTCTTGTAGATCTTATAGTAATATAATCATCTTGTGCAAGGCCAAAGATAAATGTGTTCTTTGAATCATTTTAGGATACTCCACTGTATTTGCTTATGATTTTTTTTTAATCCTCACCTGAGGATATTTTTTTCCATTGATTTTCAGAGACAGTGAAAGGGAGAGAGAGAACGAGAAGCATCGATGTGAAAAAGACACATCAATTGGTTGCCTCCTGCACGGGGGGATCAAGCCTGCAACTGAGGTACATGCCCTTGGCTGGGATCGAACCTGGAACCCTTCAGTCTGGGGGCTTCCGCCTTAAGCACTGAGTCAAACCAGCTAGGATGAAGTTCTTGTGATTTATAGTGTTCTCTCAACTATGGCAAACAGTCTAGACTTCTTAAACTAGTAATAATACAGTTTGAGTCTAATTGCTACTTCATGTCTGTAGATAGAACATCATATCCTTAAAGTCTCTATCATCAGCTTCATTCATATACTGCAACTGTTAGTAAATGCTCACTAAATCTTTTATGCGCATAAGCTCTCTAATCAAGTCATCCTGCCCTTCCCAGGAGTCCACAAAGGCTCTTCGCTTGGTTCTTTTTTCTGGAATTTCTAGTGCCATTTCCATGCCTAAAGTTCTACTTCTACCCACCTCATCCCCCACCCAACCCAAATTATCCAGGCTCCACCAACTTAACATTTAGGTTAAGTTTTCCTTTGTTATTCAATAAATGTTTCATGAATTTTTTTTTCTTTCTCTCTCTCTCCACTAGAATATACCAGCCAGTAAGCTCTTTGAGGGAAATCTCCATGTATGTGTGTGTACATGCGTGTGTTTTCACTAGAACCATTTTATACAATTTTGTAGAACAGAGAATATATGCAAATGACAGAAATACCTGTTAGCATTTATAGAATTCCACAGAATAACTTATACACTTGGCCCTTTGACAAATGTTTTTAGATCATAACATTGCTTAATAGGCCAACAAATTCATCCTACTCATAACTCAACTCTTCAGGGAAGACCCTATTTGGACAGAGGAAGAAGGGTGATGGGAGCAAATCTTTTAGCGTGTTCATATAACTGCTATTAGCACTGTATTACTGTCCTTAATAATTTAAGGCAACATTACTAACAATGATTAGAGAAAATAATGACTTATGAGTTATTAACACAGGGATAAAAAGAAGTCTAATACAAACGTTATCAAAGCTAATAATTCCTTGCCCTTCTGCTGACATGTAATAATCAAACCAGGCCTGTTTCCCCGGTAGGAGTGGTGAGCTCACACAGACAGTGGTCTCTAGAAGCTGACACACATGCACCTGCACACACGCCACTGTGCACATGCATTAGGTTGAAGCTACATTCGCTCATTACCAAGGGGTCCATCAGATTGAAGTGAAACCAGCAGCTCCTTTTTACAACATAAGATTCCCATTAAAAGGGAACTGGAGAGTGTTATGCTAAACAAAATAAACCAGTCAGAGAACAAGTACCACATGATCTCACTCATATGTGGAATCTAATGAACAAAATAAACTGATGAACAAAATAGATCCAGAAACATAGAAGCATGGAACAGACTGAGGAACCTCAGAGGGAAGGTGGGGGTGGGGGTGGGGAGAGATTAACCTAAGAACTTACATGCATATATGCATAACCCACAAACACAGACAATAGTGTGGGGAAGGCCTAGGGGTGGGGTGG